ATTATTATTATTATATTTTGGTACCAGGGATCAAACTCAGGACCTTGCACTTGCAAGGCAGGCAGGCAGTGGAACCACTGAGCTAAATCCCCAGCCCAAGAATCTAAAAATTTTAATGCCTTATTATAATGGTTTTCTACCTTTATTCCAGTTGGAAGTCATTAACCCAGTAGTCAATTCCTTTTTTCTCATCTCAAACAAAAGCAATCTAATGCTCCATTGTTGGCCAAACGAGCCTACCAGAAGTTGGTCTTCCTTTTAGACTTCATTTCTGTTACATCCTCCTTAGAGATCACCCTTCCTACTCCTAATTCATTTCCAATCCTCTGATGTCACTATGAAGAGCTCCAAATTTCTGTTATCTGCCAGTCCTTCCAGGCAGAAACAGCTTTTCCTTTGAATTCTTTAATATTTGTATACATAAACCTACTCCATGGGAGCTCAGTTTTATTAATATATTACCCTGGAGGAAAATGCCTAATTGAATTTTGACTGGGTATGCAGGGAGATTGTTTTAATTCAGCTTTGGTTAGATATAATTTATATACAATGGCATTTATCCATTTTAATTGCAGTTTGATGAATTCTGAAAAATTTATAAAAGATAAAACCACCACAATTAGATATAAAATGTTTCTATCACCCTAAACTGTTCTCTTTTGTGCCTTTGTAAGTAATTACCTCCCTCAATCCTAGTTACCATTAATAAGCTGGCTCTATAGCTTTTGTCCAAAGTTTCATATAATGGAATCCTACTGTATGTTGTCCTTTGTGCCTAATTTTTTTTAACAGGCCTCTATGACTCATCTGTGTTATCAGTAGTTCAGTTTTACTGCTAAATTCACTGTATGTTTATGTTTCTACCACAGTATAATCACAGAATGCTCCTATATTTTGGGCCATCCTAAATAAAACTGCTATCAATAGTCATGTACCACTCTTTATGTATACTTTACATAGTCTCACTTATCTTGAGTAAACAACCCTCAGGTGGATTGTATGATTAAGAGTGCAATAATGGCATTAAAACTCAACTGAGGCTTCTAGTTTCACTATTCTTGCTGAAACTTGGTATGTCAGTCTTTTAACTATTCGAGTGGTGGTTTAATAATACTTCACCGTGGTGTTATTTTGTAATATTTGTCATTCTATACCTCCTTTGATAAAATGTGTGCTCAAATATATCTTGTTTTTAAAAATTTGTCTTCTTTTTATTGAGTTGTGAGAGCCTTTTGCTTTGTTTTGGTACTGGGAACTGAACTTGGGGGACTCTACCACTGAGCTACATTCCCAGTGTTTTAATTTTTTTATTTTTTAGATAGGATCTCACTAAATTGCTAAGCTACCCAGGTAGAACTTGAACTTGTGATCCTCTTGCCTCAACTTCCCAGAGTGCCAGGATTACAGATATGTATCACCAACTTGGCTTCATTGTGATTATTTTATGTTTTGAATTTCCTGTTTGAAAGTTGAAAAGTTTCCATTTTTATTTTATATCCTTCCAAATGGGAGATTTATTTGTGGTATACTGCAAATGCTCTGAAATTACTGAACTTAATTTCAATTAGGAACATTATAAACTTGATTTTCCGTATACTAATAAACTCAGTAATTTCTATGCGCAGTAGACAGCTACTAAGATGGCCTCCAACAGTGCCACTTCCTGGTATTCCTGTCTTGACATATTCTTCTCCCCCTTCAACATGAGTTGGACTTATTGGCTTGTTTTTAATAAGTACAATATCCCATTGTAGTCTTAATTTAAGAAGATGTTACTGGGCGTGGTGGTGCACACCTGTAATCCTAGCACTCAGGAGGCTGAGGAAGGAGGATTGCTGCAAGTTTGAGGCCAGCCTGGGCTACATAGTAAATTCAAGGTCAACCTGAACTACACAGTGAAACCCTGTCTCAAAAAAACAATACAAAACAAAAAAAGATACAAAGGTCTCACTTCTCTGTTACACTGTAAATTCCTCTATACCAGGAACTTTATTCATTCTTTTTCCTATTGCAGCTGTAATAAATTACTACTAATTCACTGACTTAAAACATAAATTTATATTCTCATGGAAGTCAGAAGTCCAGAATGGGCTTCAGTGAGCTAAAATCAAGGTGTTGGTAGGGTTGTGCTTCCGGACGCTATAGGGGATATTGTTTCCTTGCATTTTCTGGCTCCCAAAGACTGTATTCCTTAGCTTGTGGTCCTTTTCTCCATTTTCAAAGTCAGCATCTTTACATCTCTCTCTCTCTTGATCCTTGTAATTAAATTGAGCCCTCCTGAAGAACCCACCAATAAAGATATTTTAAGATTAACAAATAAACATCCTTAATTCTGTCTGTAGCTATAATTCCTCCTTGCCTGTGCAATAACATATTCACAATTTCTAGGAATTAGGATATGGATATCTTTAGGGGAACCATTATTCTGCCTACCCTAGACATGTTCCTAAAATAACAATATGTAAAGTAATTTCAAGAAAAACCATCCAACTGTTCCTGCCCAGTCTGCACAAAATAGTTCCAGAAGACTGAAATGCAATAAAACAAAGTTTGTGATTAACCTGGCACTAGTATGCTGAATGGGATGTCTATGCATGATGATTAAGGAAGTAATAAATTAAAGAACATAAGACTGAATTAGGACAAGTTCAAAAGAAAGCCTGAAAGCACCAGTTCCTGAAGAAAGAGATGTCCCAAGGGCAGCATTCTCTATGCACTAAAGACCTGATTTATAACTATTATTCCCTGTTAGTATTCAAGGGGATTTTTGAAATCTTTTCCAAGACTAATAAATGATTACAAAGTTTTTAAAAAATATGTAAGTAGAACTACTTGTTTTAATCTAAAAAAGGCTAATATTCACTCCCTGTTCTCAAAAACATCTACTGAAAACCTTTTCTTAAGTAATTACTGTTAGATTTTCCTTAAGATGGATGCTACCTTAAACAGCCCCTTTGTCAGCTTGAAGCAACTCCAGAAGAAAGGACTTTCGCCCAATAACCATAAAATAAAAGTCTGAAATGTTAAATTTCCCTCACCTTAAAATGGCTGCTCCATAAAATAGCCTTCTCCTTTCCCATAAGGTCCTGCTTCTCCTCTAAAATACGGCTTCTACCAAAGGAGTCTTCTTCCCAACATGTCCCTTGGCCAAAAATAACCTGATACTTGCTACCTCCTAGCAACTAGTGATATCACAAGCTCCCCCAGTCCCTGGCCACTACATCACTCCATTCCACCCCCAGCTCCTATAAGCCCCACCCCAGTCCTATAAGAAGCGCTCCCTGTCTCTGCCATATTGCAAGACAGCCTGGCACACCTTCCCCATAATAAAGGCTTGTTATGGTCCTGGTTTGGTCCTGGTTTTCGGCTGTTTTTACCTAACAATTACTCCTTTGATTTAGTATTTAAACAATCTTTAAATAGTCACATTCATGTGTTTTACTTCCTCGTAGCTCATTTATTTCTTCATAAAAGCATTCTCATTTCTCTTCACCAGCACATTAAAACTACAATGATTCCCCGAACCTTCCAATTTCTGAAACTCGAATGTCATTCCTTTCTCTGTAAAAAATATCCTGCCAGGCCAGGGATTTAGCTCAGTGGTTCCGCTGCCTGCCTCGCAAGTTCAAGAGTCCGAGTTCAATCCCTGGTACAAAAAAATAAATACATACATACATACATACATACATACATACATACATACATACTGTGCCACGCAGTGGGGATAGTGCCTGGTCTTTGGAGATTTTTTTGAGGCAATTTTCAAGTTCCTATTGGCCAGGAATTTGGGATACTTTCTAAAGTATGCCAGGCATAATCTACAAAGGATAAAGCAATGATTGAA